TCTGTCAACAGATTGGTGAGGCTCCTTCAAGCATTTTTCTTTCCTCATGGAAGTAAATCTCTTTTCCTCCCAAAGGGAGCACTACCCACAGTGATCGCTCATTTATCAGGAACAGGTTTCCACATCAGCATGTTGAGCACAATCTCATTCTTTTTTTTAAAATATCAATTATGAAAAACAACTTCACTGTTCTTAGAACAATGCTGTGCCCATGCCGGCCATGTAAACAGCATAAAGGATTTATTGTGAAAACCGAGTTATCTTTCCATCTCATCCCCCACCCCCGCCACTGCCCTTTGCTCTGAGCTCTCTGCACCCCAAACCCACAGGGCCAGGCAAGTCACATCGAGTTTGGTCAAACAGCTGCCTAGGGGTGGGCCGACTATGCTTTGGGACTGAACTCCTGCTCATGTCACTTAGGTTACCTCTAGCTTTTCACTTCTGTTCTTGTATTTTGGGGCTGCTCCGCAGCATGTGGGATCTTACTTCCTTGACCAGGGATTAAACCCATGCTCCCCCGCATTGGAAGCCATAGTCTTAACTGCTGGACCAGCAGGGAAATCCCTAGCTTGTCACTTTTAAACGCTTAGAGCTGCGTAGAAAACCTTCTCAAGGGTGGGCTGGCCAGGCCACCGCAGCACCAGTCCCTGCCAGGGTGCCAGCAGCCCTGAAGATCCCTATTCACTCCTGGGAGGTGGCCAGGGATAGGATAACACAAGAGGGGAAAAGGCACCAGGCCAGGAGTCAGGAGGCCTGGGTTTAGAGGGAGCCACTTCCCCATTCTGACCCTCGTCCTTCCTCCTCAAATGAGGATGCTGGCCCAGAGGGCACTGGTGGCTGTTCCTGGCTTGCATCAGACCCCAGTGCATAAATGGCGCGGAGTCTTCTCCAGCGCCCTGCAGTTCTTACCCACCATTCAGAAGGACTCTCTGCTCAGGTGACCACGAAAGGCTACTGGACTTGTCTGGTGGTCTGCAGGAGGTTCAGTCTGCTCTAGGACCTATCTGGGTGGAGGCAGACGGTCAGGTGCCACATCAGAGGGAAGATGGCACTGGGATAGGAGGGAAGGACCTGGCTGAGAGTCAAAGGTTACGAAGGACCTTCTGGATCAACCTCTACCCCTGATTTCTCAGGACAAGGCTTTCCACGTGGCTTCAGTAAGGACTTGTGTCATTTCAGGCTCAATTAAGTAACAGACACACTCTAGGTGTTTCAGATTGCTGTTGTGCAGTCACTAAGTCTTGTCCAACGCTTGGCAATCCTATGGATTGCAGCACGCCAGGCTCCTCTGTCCTCCACTGTCTCCTGGAGTTTTCTTCAAATTCCTGTCCATTGAGTCGGTGATGCTGTCTGACCATCTCACCCTCTACCACTCCCCTTTCCTTTTGCCCTCGATCTTTCCCAACATTGGGGTCTTTTCCAATGAGTCTTTTCATATCAGGTGGCCAAAGTACTGGAGCTTCAGCTTCAGTATCCGTCCTTCCAATGAATATTCAGGGTTGATTGACTGGTTTGATCACCTCACAGTCCAAGGGTATTTCAGATGGAGATACTTAAAACAGGGCGCTGGTTCCCCAGGTTGTTTATAGGGGAGCTGAGGAGCCAAAGCGGGGAATGATGAGTCAACCCAGAGATCAGCCACCGTGGGAAGCTGCCACCACCCAGGGGTGGAGGGACCAGAGGCGGCGCTGGGATGTGCGGGGCCCAGGGTCCCGGGCCAGCTGGTGCCAGCTGGAACCTGGCTGGGTGGAACGCAGAGGAAATGCAGCAGCCTCCAGTGACCACACCGCCCCGCCTCCCCAACCGCCCCCCGGAGCAGACTTGAACGTGGGAGGAGTAGTCCATCTTCTCCCTTCATGCCCCCCACCTCCATTTCCCCTGCTACCTCGATGGGGCAGAACGTACCTGAAAACTGGCTGGCAAGGGAGCCTGGGCAACAGGGCCCACAGGCGTCAACCCCCCCTGCAACACAGACAGGAAAGTGTTTGAGGCTGGAAGCCCACACCTGGCTCATGACTATTTGTGCTTAAATGCTCCAGGCGCCGGGGAGCTCACTCTCTAACCTTAGGGGCGGCGGCCGTAGTCCGTTTCACCGCCTGCTGAGTACAAACACTGGCTCAGGATAAAGGAGAAGTGTCTGTGACTCCCATCCTGAAGAAGAGGGTTTGCAGCAGGAACCCTTTGTGTAAGACAGTTGCCTCATGCCTCCCGGCTTCGTTCATGCTGCCATAACTGCCAGGAATGCCCCTTCCACCAAGTTGACTCTCACCCACCTGATGAGATTCAGCTCCTCCCGAAAACCTCCCAGCACCCCATACTGGGTGATGGCACCCTGTTGCCCATTCAAAGCACCTCATGCTTCCTTCCCTATTTAGCACTAAGTATATTACATCATGCTCAAATCTCCCTGTTGGTCCATCTGATTTTTGACGGACTTGACTTTGCCTCCCCAGTGCTAACCTACTAAATACTTTGCATGCATTATTGAATTCTCCCAACTGCGGGAAGTTAGCTACTATTCTCCTCATTTCTCAGCTGGGGAATCTGAGGTTCAGAGAGGAGAGCGTCCACGTCCACTTGGCTCTGGGAAACAGAGCTGGGATCTGAACCCACTTCTCATCTCTGAAGGCCAGGTTCCGTAAGTGCAGGGCCAGCCCACACGGCCTTGCCCCGGTACAGCTGGGCAGTGGGGTGGAGATGCACGGGACCCCTCCCTGGGAACGTTTTCAGTTCAGCTCTGGTGCCTCATCCCTTACCCTCCGTCCAAGCCCCTACGTCAGTCCCCTGCAGATGAGGAGGTCGTTCCCATGGCCACTTCTCCATTCTGAAATGACCAAGAGGCTGGGCTGGGGCGGCAGGTCTAACCACAGATTGACAGATGTTTCCACGTGTGGAAGTGGGGTTTGAGCCTTGACGTGTGTTTTCACGGTTCCCTTTTCACTCTCTCCCTTGGGTAACGTGTCTAGTCGTAGTCCTGATGCTCTGAAGTATTTCATGTCTATTGCACACACTCCTTAGACTGTTCTTACCACTTTTTCTCATTAGCAGAGCACTTTCTAGTTTGCATAGCACTTTTATATGCAACAGTTCAGTGGATCTTCCTGGCAAACCTGGGACTTGTGTCTGTTTGATAGATGGAGGCCCAGAGAAACTAAGAAACGAGAGTGACAACAATTTGTTGCCCTTTATTGGGCTCTTTTTTGTCTTTTTAAAATCAAGACTCTCAATCACGCTGCATACAGTATCTCCTTTAATCTTCCCAGCAGCTATATAAGGTAAATGATATTTGCGACCCCATTGACTATAGCCCACCAGGCTCCTCTGTTCATAGGCTTTTCCAGGCAAGGATACTGGAGTGGGTTGCCATTTCCTCCTCCAGGGCATCTTTCCGGCCCAGGTATTGAACCTGGGTCACCTGCCCTGCAGGTGGATTCTTTACCGATTGAGCCACTAGGGAAGTCCCCAGAGGATATTGTCATCCCTATTTTGTTTTATTTTGGCCACCCCCTTGGGGAGGCATGTGGAACTTTCCCAACCAGGAATCGAACCCGTGCCCCCCTGCAGTGGAAGCTTGGCGTCTTAACCACGGGACTGCCAGGGAAGTTCTCCTCCCTATTTTAGAGGCAGGAAAACAGAAGCCCAGAGAGGATAACTGACTTGCTCAAGGTCACACAGCAGCAAATCCAGACCTAGAACCGACCTCGTGCTTCCTGGCCCAGTGTTCTAACCCGCTCTTGAGAACAGCTATCAAAGTGGAAAAAACACATTAGTATATTTCAATAAATCCACATCATTGAACATAGACATACTAATACTTTATACATCCTAGGAAATAAGAATGCTGTCAGTTAAACTAAGACACGGTACTTTATCACTTAGAATTTGTTTCCTACTTAGTGAAAGAACCCTTTTAGACTTAGATGCATATCGTATATATGTATATTTATATACAACACTTTCTACATACATAAGAGGAAATTTGTATGAAAACAAATTTATGTGAAATGAAACTAAATTTATATAAAAATAAACTTCTTCACATAGAAAATCTGACTCCAACTCAGGGAGCAGCCAAGGCTCATGATTTTTTACACAACATCATCCGCTGAGCCAGCCAGTACCAGTGATATGGACCTCGCCCCCCGTTTCTGTTTTTTAGAAACATTTTATGGAACCAAAGTTCTGGTATAATGATATACACAAATCATAAGTATTTCTGATGGGCTTTTATCTACATATGTGTACATGTATGATCAGTGATGGGCTGGTTGTTAAGTATTAATAGCTAGGACTTTTGCAAACCAATTTTTAAATTAAACTCTTAGTCGCCACGGTGGGAATATTTACACCATGGAAATTGGCAAGTGCTATAGTTCAGGGCTCTCCCTCCCCACTACCCTCAGAGGTTGGTATACCAGCACCCCCTCATTGACTGTAACCATCATCAGGAGGTGGGGCAGAGGATGAGACGGTTGGATGGCATCACCGACTCAATAGACATGAGTTTGGGTAAACTCCGGGAGTTGGTGATGGACAGGGAGGCCTGGTGTGCTGTGGCTCATGGGGTCACAAAGAGTTGGACACGACTGAGCGACTAAACTGAACTGAACTGAACCGTCAGGATCAGGAGCGAGATTTCCAGCCGCCTAGAAGGCCCCTCTGTGCTCTCCTAGCCCATCTCCACCAAGGAACCTCTGAAGCAGCACTTTTTTTACAAGAATTCCACAGATAGACTGAGAGGTGAGGGTCCTTACACTGGCCCTGCCTTTTGCGCCTCTTCCCACATTTGAGTCCCAGTGAGGAATGTGGCTGAACGCGTCTGTCTGCTTTACCCACGATAGGTTGTTTCCTAAAGGTTAAAAGAATGCGTCTCTATTGTCTCCAGGGTTTTCTTCCAAGCCACAGAAACCTATCCCAGAGTGCTGGGCAGGCAATAGTGACTCCATCCAGAGGGCTCCTGGCCAGCAGAAACTGGGAGACGCACCCTGATTTCAGAGCTATTAAAATGTGAAGGCCATGCCTCTTAGGATGGCTGAGATACAGGGTATTATGACTTTTTTGAACATCTTCCTTTGCGGAAGTAATTTCCTTTGAGAAGCAGCTTCTTGATGATTACGCCCTGTGGAGCCGAAGCATCTCGATTTCCTCATGGCCAGCAGTCTCAGTGGTGGTCCCGTCCCTAAGCCGCTGGCTTCTGCCCACTTTTTCAGGGTCAGTTGGGTGTTACCATCTCTGGCTGTGACCTGGAAAGAGAGGGAAACCATGGCTCTGACACCAGACCGCTTCTGGATCATCTTTTCTGGGTGCAGATGAAGGCAGGGCTTGTGCCCTCTGGGAATGGTTCAAGGTGTTCTTTATGGGCTTCCACCGCAGACACACCCCTGTGATGCCTATTTCAAAGGGTCAGCGTCCTCCTCCCAGCCTAGCAGTGACCTTCTGCAAATTTGCATGTGTGTGTGCCAAGTTGCTTCAGTCATGTGACCCTATGGACTGTAGCCCACCAGGCTCCTCGGTCCATGGGATTCTCGAGGCCAGAATACTGGAGTGGGTGGCCATGCCATCCTCCACAGGATCTTCCTGACCCAGCAATAGAACCTGCATCTCTTATTTCTCCTGCATTGGCAGCAGGTTCTTTACCACTAGAGCCACTGGGGAAAGCTGGTACATTATGTTCCCTCAAAGTCCAGCATGCCATTGACGTGGAGCAAGTGCCCAGGAAGTATTTAGATGAAGGAGCCAATGACAGACCTGGGTGGAGAGATGTCACTCTGCAGCCTGCCCGACTCCTTGCCCTGCAGAAAAAGCACTTCTCCAAAATTGACAGGAGCAACTAGGATGGTGTGCATCCTGGCTTCACCTGAGCTTGGAGGGGTTCACTGAAGGCATCGTAGGTGACCCCTTTGGAGACCTCTGGACCACTCCTTCTTTCTGTGTCTTGGTTCAGGCTGCCCTACCCCGACCCAGCCTGGCAGGGCCAAGTCCTTGGTCTCTGGCAGGTGGGGCTGAGAGTGACAGGGAGGATCAGGCTGAGACCTGCTCTGGAGCTGGGGGAGGGCATGGCAGGACGCAGCACCCAGAGTGAAGCCGATCCAAAGCAATGGGTTTAGATCAAACTGCAGAAGAGCAGGGAGGTTGCAGGAGTTTGCTGGAGATGGACTGAGTGGGTTGGAGCACTGGGAGTCTGGAAAGGACCTAGCATGTTCTTCAGGAGCTGGGGCGAGTCAGAGGGAAGTGCATGGACCAGAATGTCCAGGCTCAAGTCCCAGCTTGGCTCCCTCCCATCCTCACGACTCCAGGTGGCTACTGCCTATTCTGGGCCTCAGGTTCACCACTCAGATGATAACCCTGGTTCTTAAAACCTGCCAGTGTGGTTGTGGGGAAAAATTAAAATGTGCTTATGTGATAGTGAGTCCTTGTTCAGGGGCCAGACTCAGAGCACTTTTCATGAATTAATTCAGGGCTTCTTAAAGTGTGGTCTGGGGACCAGCAGCAGCATCAGCCTCACTCAGGAACTTGTTAGAAAAGCAAATTCTTGGGCTCCTGCTGTATCTGAAGCCCTGGGAACGTGGCCAGCAGTTTGTATTCGAACAACCTCTCTCGAAGATTCTGCTGAAACCTAAAATTTGAGAATCACGGCGTTAGCTTCTTGGTCTGCTCTTTCCTGCCGTGAGGCGAGTGCTGTTGTTATCATGAAGAGTAAAAGCCTCAGTCATGCTGGATGGTGCCCAATTTTTCCAGACTCAAAATCAGGTTTTTAAAAAACGATATGATTCATATATTGTACAATTAACCCTTTTACAGAGTGTGCAATTCAGTGATTTTTAGTATATTCACATCGTCATGTAGCCATTACCACTAATTTCAGGATATTTTCATTGAGCCCCCAAAGAAATGGGGTACCATTTATCAGTCACACTCCATTCCTCTTTCCTCTTAGGCCTTAGGAACCATTAATCCATTCTGTTTTAAGGATAGACATTTCTGGACATTGTGGACAATAGATAATGTTAATATCAATGTCTATTCTGGATATTTTCCTATAAATGGGATCATAGTAATAAGTGCTCTTTTGTTTCACTTAGCATAATGGTTTCAAGCTTCTTCCATGTTGTACTTGATTCCTTTTTATGGTTGAATAATACTCCATTGTATGGATATATCACATTTTGTTTATACTTTCTACTACTGATGGGCGGTTGGATTTTTTTCCAGTTTTTGCTAATCTCATTGTGCACTGAATGTACAGCGCTTTGTAACCATCACCTTTACCTAGTTGCAAACATTTCATCACCCCTAAAAGGGACCCTGCACCTGCTTCTTACTCCTCCCTCCCCTAAGCCCTGGCAACCACTCATCTGCTTTCTGTCTCCACGATTTAACTATTCTGGATATTTCATATAAAAGGAATTATTCAACATGAGATCTTCTGTGTCTGACTTATTTGATTGAGCATAAAGTTTTCAAAGTTCATCTATGTGGTTAGCATGCCTCAGTCCTTCATTTTTTTTAATGGCAGAATAATAGTTTATTGTACAGATAGACCACATTTTGTTTACCCATTCACCCACCGATGGACATTTCCATTGCTTCCACCTTTAGCTAAGGTGGATAGTGCTTCTACAAACATTCATGTACAAGCACTTGTTTGACTACCAATTTTCAGTTCTTTGGAGTATACATCTATATGGGTCATATGGTAACCTTTTTGAAGAAATGCCAGTCTGTGTTTTTCAAAGTGGCTGCACCATTTTACATTCTCACCAACAATGTATGAGGGTTCCAATTTCTACACATCCTTGTCAACACTTTCCATCTTCTCTGTTTTAAACATTACATCCATTCTAGTGGATGTGAAGTGGTATCTCATCGTGGTTTCGATTTGCATTTCCCTAATGATTAGTGATACTGAACATCTTTTCATGTGCTGGTTGGCCACCTGAATATCTTCTTTCCAGATTGCTTTTTAAGTCCCTTGCCCATTTTTGAACTGGTTTGTCTTTTTGTTGTTGAGTTTGAGGAGTTCTCTATATATTCTCAATATTAATCCCTTATTAGATATGTGACTTGCAAATATTTTCTCTCACTCTGTGGTTTGCCTTTTTAATCTGTTGGTAGTGTCTTTTGGTGCACAACATTTTTTCATTTTGATGAAGTCCAATTTATCTGTTCTTTTTCTTTTGTTGCTGCGCTTTTGGGTCATATATCTGAGAAGCCATTGCTAATTTCAAAGTCATAAAGAGTTAACCTCTATAAGCATCATTGCTTACATTTAGCTCTTTGACCCATGTTTGAGTTGGTTTTTGTATATGATGTGAGGTAGGGGTCCAACTTCATTCTTTTGCATATGGGTAGCCAATTATCCCATCACCACTTGTTGAAGAGACTAAAAAGAGGCAATAAAGAAGAATGTGAAGTAAAATACTTACGAAACTGATATGTGCCAGAAATGCAAAAAGTGGGTATGTGGTACTTGAGTAAGTGAAGTTTGGGTGAAGCTCTTACTAGTGGATTTTTTGCTCCTTGAAGATTTCCTCTGGCCCGGGGAGATGCTCTGTTTAGTAAAAGATGCTAGGATTGAGGTGACATGGCTGCTGCCTCCCACCAAAAGGGACAACTTGGCAAGATCCCAGCCAAGCTTCTTTTCCGCTGCCCTTCCTAGGTCTACATTCATGACTAGGGTCTCCAGGAGCAAAGAAGAACGAGCCCCCTCATTTGCTCACCTGGTGTCCGTCTGCTCCTTCGTCTTCCCCTAACTGGGCCGTGGTCCCGCTGCCAGGCCCAGCACCTCTCCCATCTGGCCAAGTGCAGTTCCAAAAACAACCTCAGGAGCACTGGGATATGTTTCCAGCCCAGACTAATGGTGCTCCCATCCATGGCCCAGACTCAGGTTCCTGTTGGGTGGGGCAACAGCTCCTCACGCCCTGAAAGGTGATGGAAGCATGTGGTTTTGCTTTTTCTCATTTGTTTTTGGAACATGAATATCTTTCCAAGGCTCTCTGGCCAGAAGGTGACAGTGCAGGTCAGTTGGCTTCCTTGTCCTGTGAGCTGCGTCCCCTGCCCATCACCCAGGTCCTTCCGGGTGTGCTCATTTCCTAGGACCATGGCAAAGCACCACGAACTGGGGAGCTTGTAACAGCAGGGATGTACTTTCTCTCAGGTCTGAAAGCTAGAAATTCAGAATCAAGATGCTGGCAGGGTTGATTCCTTCTGGGGGCTCTGAGGGGGGAAGTCTGCTCCATGCTTCTCCTCTAGCTGCTGGGGGCTGCTGGCAAGCCTTGGTGACCCTCGACTTGTAGCTGCATCCCTCCAGTTTCCGCCTCCTTCACCTGACCTTCTCCCTGTCTCTGTCTCTGTGTCTTTTCTCCTCTTATAAGGACATCAATCATAGTAGATGCAAAGCCCATTCTACTCGGGGGACTTCCCTGGTGGTCCACTGGCTAAGACTCCATGCTCCCAATGCACAGGCCCTGGGTTTGATCCCTGGTCAGGGAACTAGATCCCACATGCTGCGACTAAAGATCTGGCATGCTGCAATGAAGATCAAAGATCCCGTGTGCTACAACTAAGAGCTGGTACAGCCAAAGAAACAAATATTGTAAAAAAGAGGACATTGCATCTTAAAAAAAAAAAGCCCACTCTATTCATCTAAAGCTAATCTTTTGACCTCATCTTAACTAATTACATCTGACATGATCCTATTTCTGAATTAAGTCACATTCTGAGGTTCCAGGAAGAACATGATTTTGGAAGGGACTCTATGAAACCCCATGCCCGAGGTGAGGAGCTGTGGGAAACTCGCTGGAGCTGACAGTCTGTTTCTGTGAGTCCCTCCTGGATGCCTTGCTTCTAAGAGCCTGCACCTGCGGCTCTCTTCAGAGGCATCTCCTTGAGCTATTAGAGCTGTTTTGTTCTCTCTCTCTCTCACACACACACATCCAGATGTGCCTGGGCATTTATGTCCTCTGGGCCGCCTTAACGTGATAATGACTGACTGGTTCTCCTGCAGGAGTTTGAAAGCCCAGCTCACTTGCCTTCAGCTGGGGACAAACTCTGAGGTGGAGCAGACATTCCAGAGCGCCCCACAGGTCAGGGTGGAGCTGACTAGTTCACTCTCCAGGTCCAGTTCCCCCGAGTCTGTTCGTGACTTGTCCTAGGAGCAATGTCTCAAGAAATTTGCTATAAAGGTCCTCTGCTCAAAGTCTGTTCTGGGCATCCCAACCTGAGACGGATACCCATACCTGGA